CCACTGGGTGCACTAACTCAGAGTGAGTTGTTTGATGGTCCTCTAGTGGGAAAATGCATACTACAAAAGCTTTGCCCTTCCCAGTGCAATACCATTTTGGGGGGGCACACCTCATATAGTAGTGTGAAGTCAGTGTAGAAAGAGAAATATAACTCATGGAACAAAATAACCAGGAAGAACAATACCCAACTATGTATATATTAAATGTTTCTTTTAACAAATATTTCGGGAGTGATTACTACATGGTCTGTGGACAGTGCAGTAAAGTCATGCTCTTATTCTGTTTATATTCTGGGTGTGGGAAGAATAAGAAGTCAGAGAAACCAGATGCTTTCCACTGTTCTAAGTGCACTGAAGGAAGTAAACAGGATGATGTGACAGGTTATTTAAATGTGGTGTTAAGAAAATCTCTCCAAGGATTAGCATTTGAGCTGAAACCTAAATGATGAAAAGAAGTGAGTCATTGGAAGAGACCAAGAGTGAAGGAGCCCAATGGACAGAACAGTGCAAATGCCTTGATACAATAAACTGTTTCACCTAATGTACATAAAATTTTATTAAATATATATAATTCAAAAATTAAACTCATTACCACAGAGGTGATTCTGACTCATTACCAGAGAGGTGATTCTGACACATATATATGAGTGAACACACACACACAACACACACACACACACACACACACACACGTGTCTGAGGCTGGAAGGACTAAAGTTCAATGAAGAGAACTAAGAATGGACAGATCCTATCAGGCCTTGTAAGCTGTGATAATCAACCACACCCACTATCATTGAGTCCATTCTGACTCACAGTGCCCCTACAGAGGGTTTCTGGGGCTGTAAATCTTTAGCAATTTCTCCTGAGGAGTAGCTGGTGAGTTTGAACAGCTGGTGTTGTGCTTAGTAGCCCAACATTTACTTGACAGCTCCATCAGAGTTCTTTGGGTTTTGAAATGAAGTTTGGAGTTTATTCTAACTTAATATATTATACATTCAAGTTTCTTTATAAAGAAAGATAAAAATGACTGCTTACACGTAACAGCTCTAAAAACTATGCTTATTTTTCATGCAACACCATTCACAATAGCCACCAGTAGAAACTGAAAGGTCCATACATAGAGGAATTGATAAATAAAATGTAGTACACAGACAACGGAGTACTACTCAGTCATAAAAAGAAAACGTCTACAATACTATGAGCCTCGAAGACATTAGGCTGAGTGGTAGAAATGTAGAAAAGCCAAAGGTTATTAGTGGTTATCAGGAAAGATAGAGGGCAAGAAAACAACATTGACTGGGAAGCAATGATTTTTCTTTTGTTTACGATGATGAGAACTCTGGCATCAGCTAAGGATAATAA